GCTCGTGCCGGTCTAGGACTTCTTTAGCCGGCGTATGCTTTGGACAAAACGCTCCCTTCAGAGTGCAGTGAGGGCTGCTGGATTGGTTTGGGGGGTCTCTTGAGGGCTTTGGGTTTCGGAGCTTAAGGCCGTGTACAGGGCCTTAACGATTCCAGCAGGTCTTTGTTTTGTTTATTTGATGTGTGTGTGTTTTATATATATATATATTTTTGGGGGGGGGCGGTGTATATTAGAGCAAGATGTAATATCAAACTTTTCGCCGAGTCATAGATTCTTCAGATGTCTATACTACTAGGAGGCCGAAGAGAGAGATATGATCTTTTTTACGACGAGCTTCCGTTAGGGTTTATAGGGTTTAGGGTTTAGTAACCCATACAGCCCGTAAGTCCGATAGTCTCTGAAAGCCCTGCAACCTAAGCCTATACATCTCAAATATATCAGGACTCACACGCTCGACTTTTCCGGAACTGGGATTCTGATGCCACAGTTCCTAACTCACAAACCCCAAAAAATTGACAAGGGTGAGCTTTTAGGGTTTGGTTTTGCAGACACCAGGCCCGAAACAAACGTCCCCAATGTAGTGGCAAGGTAGATCTGCTGGCACTCCAAAATAGCCCAAAGTAGCTACCATTTATAGATTTCAGACCCTAAAGTTGGTACCTTGTAAGCTTACCTGGAGGCTCATACCCTACCCCCCTTTTTTAGGGTACTTAGTTTTATGGTTAAGATCTTCAATATTTTTCGCAGAACAATAGATACCCAACAAAAGGGGTAGGGCATGAGCCTACTAGGGCTTCAACCCTAAACCTCTAAACCCGGAAACCCCCATAACCCTAAACCCTAAACCCCTAAACCCTAAACCCTCAACTCTCAGCCTCCGGGATTAGGTGATCTCTCGGGAAGCTTCGGGGTTAGGGCTTACGTTTACTAATCAGGGAGACCCTTGCCTCTACCTGCTTGCATAACTCTCTCAAATCAAGAGGGTCTACATGTATACTAGTATTGGGCTTTGGGTTCAGGGGTTTAGGCTACATATACTACTGTTCCCTCTTCTTCAATTACCGGGCCCAAACAATTTTTCAAACTTTAAAAGATAGACTAAATGTGTAACTAACATCCAAAAGTTACAAAGCAAAAAAATGAACTCTCCCTATTGGCTATCTAAGTATTGGGCCGCCCAAAACCATGATTCGAATGCTCCTTCGGGACCTAATTCCATGTTGAGAGTATCTTTGGCCCCTATGGGAAATCGAGCCCGTGAGACAACGCGGCATCCGATTGCAGGGTTTTGGAGCCCTAAACCCTAAACCCTAACCCTAATGGGCTTGGTGTTTAAGGGTCCGCACCGCAAGCTCTAAACCCGAGACCCTGGGGGTGTGTAGTAAACCCCAAAAAGTTGGAAACCGGATTAAGGACAATTAGTGCTGGGATTCCCTATATATGACTCTTAAGGATTGAGGCTATTGGGTTTCCAGCTTTTGGGCTTCTACTGTAGGGGGTTTAGTGGGGGTCTTGAGGCTTCAGGTTTGGGGATTTAGGGTTCAGAGGTTTTGCGGTTTAGGGTTTAGGGGTTTGGGGGTTTAGGGTTTAGAGGTTTGGGGATTTAGGGTTCAGAGGTCTGGGGATTTAGGGTCCCTAAACCCTAAACCCTAAAACCCTCAAACCCTACACCCTAAACCCTAAACCCTAAAGCCCTAAAACCCTAAACCCCAAACCCCTAAAGCCCTAAACCCTAAAACCCTAAAGCCCTAAACCCTAACCATCTGTGGCTCAGACCACAGCTTTGTTCTTCTGCGTGCGGAAGGGGTAGCCTCTCCGAGGGCCGATTACCAAAGAATCCTACACCCGCAAAGGAGCCCTTACTAACCCTTATAGGCGTTTTGTAATAATCCCTAAACCCTAAACCCTATGTCAGCCCTCCGGATGAGTTGTTTAGAGTGAAGCGTTTAGGGCTTCTAGGGGTTTAGGGCTCAGGTTTAGGGTTTTGGGGTTTCGGGTTTGGGGTATAGGGTTTCTAGTCCTACAAGCCCTTTAAGCCCTGAACCCTAAACCCTAAACCCTAAACTAAATCTTAAACCGCAACCATGAAGTCGCTTCACGAAGGATCCCACAACAGAAACGCAAGGCATGAAACATAAAGCTGGTCGATCTTTGCCCTGCCCTAAATTTTTGGGACAGTGAGGGAGATATGAGGTCTCAAAATTCTGGGGGTAAAGTTTGCTGCTGTAGGGATCGGAGGGGCCAGAAAAGGCCACGATTCCATTACATTGCTGCAGCATGGGTGGTCTCCCCTTTTGTTTAGAGTCTAGGGTCCTACAAGGTGCAGGGTTTGGGGCCCTATAGGGTTTACAGGATGTATGGGGTTTAGGGCCGTCCCAGACCACCGGAAGGATCTAAAAAGGTAGATCCCCTAATTTGGGACCCTATACTACTAAGGGGTACTTTGAAGGAACCCCTCAGGGGATCTATTTTCGAAATCCTTCCGGTGGTCTGGGTTAGAGTTTTAATACAGTAAGGAACCCACAGTTCTTCCCACCCAAAAATTAGTGCTTTTGGAGCTGTTCCTACAGGGTTCCTTTAAGCGTTCCTAAACCCTAAACCCTAAGCCACCCTAAACCCTAAACCCTAATCGGGGTTGAAAGGGTGGAGGGCTTTTAGAATTTTAGAGCTTATGGCTTAGAGCTTCGGGCATTTAGGGTTTAGGGTTTAGGGCTTCGGGCATTTAGGGTTTAGGGCTGAGGGTTTAGGGTGTTTTTGGTGTGTAAAGCTTGAGGGCTGTAGGGCTTTGGAGGTTCAGGGTGTATCGGTCTGGTGTTTTTAGTCGATCTTGTCGGTGTGTTGCTCGAGATTTACGGCTTAGGGTCTAGGAATTGGGACCTGAGATCAAGGATCATCTTATTTGGACGCCAGAATCCCAAACCGCCTAGATAGCGTTAGGGAGACCCCGAAAAGGGGACCCTTCTTAACCCTACTTGTGGCTCTCTTTAAAAGGGACCTTATTGAGAGGGTCTATATCCCCAAGGGCCCCCCGTAATCCAAGCTCCCAAAACCCTAAAGCCCGAAACCCGCATTCTCTGAAATTCCCCACCTTAAACCCTACGGTGGATGGTATAAATCCTGCATTACCCATAATAAGGGATATACCATAATTCCCATACTTTAGCATCCTTAAGGTCAGCAGGATTTAGATCATCAACAGTAAGTAGAACCCTAAGCCGAGGTGTTCTGCAATTTCTTTGAGGCCGACGACGAAGGCGCAGGGAAGGGCCAACATCTACCGCTAAGGGTTCCTTCAAGGTTTCTTTCAAGGGTTCCTTTCGGGGTTCTTAGGGTTTAGGGGTTTCGGGTTTAGGGTTTTGGGTTTAGGGTTTAGGGTTCTAGAAGGGGCTTCATTCAGAAGGGGATCTTAGTAGGGCTTAAGGTTTAGTATCTATCCAGAGGTAGACCCCCTTGTCATGCAAGAACTTTAGCTGTTCAACTCATATCAAGGGTCCCCTTTAAGAGTTTAGGGTTTAGGGTTTGGTATGTTAAGGATTCCTTGACACATGTAGGCTACATTCCGGAGTACAGGAGTCCCCTGCGTTCTGAAGAAAGCCCATGAAACCTTGTGGTTGAGGGGGGTAGGGGTCAGTTTAAGGTTTGGGGTCTAGGGATTTTTGGGTTTGGGGTTTAGGGCTTTTTGAGAGTTGGGTTTAGGGGTTAGGGTTAAGGGTTTAGGGGGTAGAGATCAGTTTAAGGTTTGGGGTCTGCAGGGTTGTAAGTCCAGGGTTAAGGGCTATGATTAGGGGTTAGGGGTTAGGGTTTAGGGGTCAGGATTTGAGTTTAGGTTATCTCTGCCGTGACCTGACAGCCCCCCCGGGAAGAAAGACCCCACGAAGCAAAACACTTCCGGGAGGCAGCTTTATCTAGGACATTTTCAGGTGGGTAGTTACCGTTGTAGGAGCCTTATAGAAGGTCTATACACCTTACAGAAGCCTTATAGAAGCCCTATATACCCTAAACTCCCCACCTGTAGTTTCCTTTAACTTTAAATCGATTCGACTCCAGATGTGGTTTGCTTGAGCTTTTGACTTTAGGGCTTAGGGTTCGTGAGCTTTTGACTTTAGGGTTTAGGGTTTAGGCAGTCGAATCATTCGAGCATATGCGAGCATAAAATCACAAACCTAACTGTAGTTTACTTTGACACGGGCTGGGCTTCAGTGTTAGGGCTCCCTATCTCAATGCTTCCGCCCATTGCAACGCTTCGAGCGGCCATCGGTCTGTTCGAGAAGGAGGGCCCTAAAACCCTAAACCCTAAACCCCTAAACTTAACCCCTAAACCCTAAACCCTCGATGATGTCGGGACCTGATGAAGAAACCCTGGGTCTGTATTCGTTTTATGGGTCCTTACAGGACCAGAGTTTCTGAATCAGGTTTAGGGTTTAGTACGTGAAGTAAGAACCAGGATATTAAAGAAGGAATGCCCCCTCAGAGAAATGTCACACTAACACCCTCGAGGCAATGATGAACCCAGACAATGACCACTGATCTGCACAATTTTCTCGACGAAAAAACAGCCTTCCGGAGTCAAAGCTTCTAAGCACGGAACTGATCACACGCACTCCCCCTTTCGTCCACGCCTCCAAGGCATGACGAAACGTCTGGGAGCCTAAAGGAAAAGCTAGCGCAGCGTGATCATCCTTCTGTATCCTATGACCACCGAAAGAACTGAATGGACAAAAGCCGTAGATCTGGCCCGATTCCGATCTGTTGCTCTGTACAGCAACACCCCTTTTTGAAAGGGATTCAACTATAGGCCAACGGCATCCATGAATCTCCACTAACAGGACCGAGGTTAGCCACTGCAGACCCTGACCTAAAGTCACTACGTGAGAAAATGTTCTAAAAGCCCAGTTCTACTGACTGGGGGTCCTTTTATGCACCAACCCGATCCTAAATGCTCAAGGCTGTTCTTCTTACCAACCTCAGTGCCAGGTCACCTTCGCCCGGGATGGGAAGATTCAATCTGAATCCGAACTCGTAATACCTCCAGACTCAACCCTAAGCATATAGCCACCCACAAGAGCATGGAATTCAGACTGAATCCTCTCCGGGTAACCTTCCGCATCGATCTTAAAACCGGCACGCCAGAGACAAAACAGAATCTTTGCCCTGCACCTGACTTGCCCACTTAGGGGCAAGGGTACAATGTTAAACGAAGTTGTCTGACTCTCAGCATCAACCGGCTTCCTAACGGATGCTGTACCGCTGCAGCAACTGCGCCGTACGATTTCCCAGATCAACACCACAACGACGACTTTACTTATCTCCCAAAAGACCGAACCATCACACCGAATCCAATCTCCCTCGGGCATAACCGCATCCTGATCAAGGGGACTACCTTTCCACAGCATTACACCTTGGTCCTCAGAACATTGTTCCACCCTATCCTCTTCAATCTCAACTCCACACGCCCTAACAGCCTGTACCTCCAACCACAGTAGCAGCAAGAAGATCCAACACCTTCGATGCCATCCCCAAATCCCAACTGAAGAGGAGCTACCAGAACTCAACCCTGAACTCAGCGCTCCACCCCTAAGCTCATCCTCAAGTGGGGCACGCGGCTCGTCTTGAATCCCTGGTGCTGTTAAGGTTCCCTCGGACATCACCCTTTGGAAATCAGACCAGTCCCCAGTGTTCAGCCCTTGTACAATAGCAGCTACATCCGACATACTCCACCCTTGCAAAGGAACCTGAACACAATCATCCCCATACAAACAAAACAACACCCCTTCCCCAGCCATATACACAATCCCTTGCTGAGGGGGCCTTTGAGGAGTGCCCTCTCCTTCATTTCCATCGGACAATTCCGCGAATGTCTCGGAAGGCTCAGCCGTAGAGCTACTTACATCCTCCTCCGAAGAGGGAACGTGCAACAACTCATCTACAACAGGTCTCAGATGCAACACCGGACCCCTCTGCAGTGGCGCTCGATGGGGCCTTTCATCAAGCTCCAAGTCCTCTTCCTCCGAAGCTTCTTCAAACGGATAAGACCGGACTCCGGAGTGTAGATAAGCTTGAGCTGCATCATAGGAAATAGGACCATCCACCATCCTTTGAATCCCCGTGCTACGAAGCCAACAAATGAGAGCATACACCACATGGGAACGAAACCCCTTCGCCGAAGCATACATGTAGCCCCACTCGCGTGTTCTATCCCCAAGACAAGCCAAGATCCGACTACCGCACAACGCGAACACCCTCCACAAGAAGTGCACCACCACCGTAGGAGGCCACTCCACATAAGGAAACCCAACAGCTGCGCCCTCCGCTACAGACAAAGGTCCTCCTTGTGGCTCTACCTCGGTGTCCTCCTCATTCAAAGGGTAACCCGTCAAAACATACTCGTCTACAGCTATCTGCCACTGGGGACCAGAGAACATCACCATGTAAGGTCCTCCTCGTAAAGCCTCAGCTACCGAAGCGGAAAAGGCATGTCGAACCGCACTCGACGCACTCCTTAGACACAACCACTCCGGGACCCTAGTTCCTAACCACCCAAGAACCACTGCCCCCGACACCGAAAACACTTGAACCAGAAAGTGCGTTCTAAACCAAACCCCCACCAACGGGAAATCTTCTAGTTCGACATCACCGCCCGTCAAATCCTCATACGTCAAGCCCCAGGAAGCCTGTTGATGCCCCATCCCGTGACTGTTTGAGCTCCCTCCATGCTGGTGGTTTGTAGGTGGGCAAGGGTCAGTACTGCTTGCACTCCCTCCAACCTGAACACTCGAAACTGGAAAAGTGCCTACCTGACCTGCCCAGCCCTCACTCAAGTCGCCATTCCAAACCGAATCTTCCCCAGGTAGCAAACTAGAACTCCCCCCAACCTGAAGACCCGTATCAGAGGGAACTTCGCTGAGACTCCCCGGGACCTGAAGACCTGTATCAGATGGAACTTCGCTGGAACTCCCCGGAACCTGAAGACCCGTATCAGATGGAACTTCGCTGGAACTCCCCGGAACCTGAAGACCCGTATCAGATGGAACTTCGCTTGAACTCCCCCTGACCTGAGGACCCGCGTTCGGAGCTCCTTCATCTGAACCTTCCCCAACAAAGAGCTCCCCAGGGACCCAACGGTAGTCCCCATCTACAGCCACAAAATGAAACTCCACTCGACCTGTCATCCCCACTGGAAGTGTGTGAGGGACCCCAGTATCTTGAAACCGGGCAACTAGGACCATCAGCGCATGATGAAACACCGCTCTGGCTGTTCTCCGAAGGTAGTTCCACTCTACAGACCTGAAGCCCAGATATCCCAACAAACGTCCACCAGGCAAGTCCAGAATCCTTAAAAACCCGACACCCCGGTAACCTTCCAAACCTGCCTCTCCAACCTGCGAAGCTACTTCAGAACACAACTCTCCAGTATTCTCAGAGGCTTCACCACCCCCAGAAGTCAACCACTCAGGTGGAGCGCCAAAACGTTGTTGAAACACCGGGGGCTCGATAATGTCCCCAAGGGCCAGAGCCCTTCTGAGCCTGCATCGTTGTATAGAAGTTAGGCCTGTGAACCTTTCTACCCTCTCAAGTTTAGCCTGCACAGCCAGCCACTCTTGGTGTGTAAAATCATCATCCTCGGAACCTCCTTCCGAACCCGATCCAGCCTCAACCAAACCGCAACCAGGTTGTGGGTCCAAAGCTACACCCGGGTTAGTTTCAGGCCTCATGAATGGAACCTCGTCAAAGAGCGCCCCATCCGAAGAGGAACTTTGAGCTCCACTCTCTGCCTCTTCATCTGGCCCGCTCAGATCAACACCAACAAGGTCCTCAAAACCACCCACCAAAATGGGCCCAAACCAACCCGAAGCACACCAACCTACCCACAAGCCCACTACGCAAGCAACCACCATTCCAAAGGTCCAACTCACCCAGCTCCAACTAACCCCCAGCCGGTCTTCAGCTGGCTGCCCTTGAACGCGTGGAAGCAGGGCCAGTAATGCCAAGCCTGCCAGGGTCTGCGCTACAACCCCTGCGGAGGGGGTACTCTCTGAAGATAACCTACTCAGCATTCGGGCACTCTGAGCCGACTCGGATACCCTAAGCTGACTACGAATGTTCATAAGTTCTAGTAGCTGCAGAATCCGGGCCCGAGCTAGCGGCTTCGTCGCTATATCGGCAATCTGAAATTCTCCTGGCAAATGCGTAACGCGTAGGAGGCCAGCGCTTATGCGCTCACGGGCTGCGAATGCACGCATGCGCAAGTGACGACTTCGCCACCCCGCAGGGGCAGCATCAAATGCTCGAATCGCGGCTTCGTTGTCGGCCAGTAGTGATATGGTAGTATCTTGCTCGATAAGCTCACTAATGAGTGGCTGAACAGCCTCCGCAATCTGCACCCCCGAAATCATAGTAACTAGCTCGGCCTCTGCCGACGACAAAGTCACAAATGATTGGCGGGAAGATTCCCAAGTCACTGGAACACCTTTCCATAGCAGAAAAATTCCCTGGATGCTGCGCCCCCCGCAGGGGCTATGCGACGCGTCAGTATAAAGTTCCAGCACTCTCTCCGTACGAGGCAGAGACAGCAACCCATGATCTGAAAAAGTGCTCCCTACTTCATACGGAACATCAATACCAACATCCAGCGTAGACCTCAAGTAGGCGAAGGCTTGCTTCCCTAGACTCACACAAAGGCTGGGGCACTTCGTAGCTTGTTGACCGCAACGGGAAACTACATAGGCTAAATCCGGACGAGTCCGGGTCGACAACCACAGAAGGGCTCCCGTTATCGCCTGAGCTTCTTTCACTTCCTCCGCCAAAGGCGGAGGACCCACCTCTGGCTCCGTCCATCTGGTGATTGGTGTCGCCGAAGACTCATCGATACTGTAGCGCCCCAATAGTTCACGCCCATAAGCATTTTGGCCCATGTGATATCCATTATCATGCTGAGAAAGTTCCATACCGCAAAACGTCAAAGGCTTCGTGCTGAGCCACTCGGGCATGGATGTCTTCCATCTCTCCTGAACAGCCCGCACAAAAGCTTCCCCGAGGCCTTTTGGAGCCAGGAACAATAGATCATCGACGTACACGACCAGGAGGCCTGCAGTATCACCGTACCCCGCCTTCGTAGCCTTTCGGGCCACCCACAATGCGTCGTCGGAAAGCGTTTGCACCAAATGGTACTCATCTTCTCCCCAACGCAAGCGGAACTGAGCGAATTCCGCATCACGGTATCTTCCCCAGTCCCGCGGGGACGTAGGGAGCCCGTAAAGGGCTTTGCGGATCCACCACCTGTCATCCTTTGTCATAATACCAAGTTCCAACAAAAAATTAGGCGGTTTCACAATGATGCGCTCCTCAGTGCCCTTGGTATCACTCCGTATGGGGGCATATAAAAATGCCGACTTCACATCAATAGTAACGCCAGTCCAAGAAGGATGCCCAGCAGCAAAGATTAGAGCAATCTTAACTGAAAGCGACTCGGCTCCCGAGGCATACAAATCCTCCCTCGTGAGGCCCAACTTCTCTGTGGGTAGGTAGTTGCCGCAGCACACTGCCCGACACCTTCTTTTACCGGTACCCGACTTTATCGTAAGCACTACTTTGCCAGGAAGCTGGACTATGCTAATCCCTTCAGCTGCCCACTTATCTACATCGGCAACCGATACCCTATCAACAGCCCTATTCACCTCTTCGAGGCTACAAACTTCCTCTAAAGCCGGGTCCTTCCACTTATCAAGCTCCTTCCTAGCCTCAGGTAGCCCTACGGTACGAGTTTGAAGAAACTGATCTTCCTGCCCTTCACTTGAAGCTAGCGGTATATCGCGCTGCAACGCCCGTACAGCGATCTCAGAAGAATCGTCCTGGCTCAAACAAACCTCAAGCCACTCACATAGCTGTTCAGAATCGTGAAGCTGCCTTGCGATATCGGCACCCCCTTCCGTTAACTCAAAGGCCCAACATAAATCCGAAGCCAACATCCTACAGAGTCTAGACTCCACATCATGTCGACGCTCCAAACCAACTCGGACCTCCTCGTCAACAATCGGAACCGGAAAACACACATCCCACTCAACTTCCTCCGGTACCTCTGCCTTGGTTGCCCCCCCTACCTTTACTGAAGCCAAACCCCTTATCCTTGACTTAGCTTCAGCCACTGGAAAGCCCAATTCCTCAAGCTCTTTCCAATGATCATCGGTCGTGGCTGCAACGTCCCTGGGAGTAAATGCAGATATCACCCAACGAACTTCACCTTCCCCATCTTCAGCTACGTGCCATCTTTCTCCGGAAAACACCACTGGACCCTGCTTAACATCATGAATAGAACCAAACCTCCTACTTCCTGAAGGTAGCTCCTTACCTACTGGCCCATCATTGTATTCATCTTCAATCCAAAGCCCACCTCCTATGAAATTCCCAAGGGCACGAACACAAACCGGTAACCCCCTAGCATTCCTCAAATCTCGATGAATTGGCAGGCTAGCATTCTTGGTCACATACATGGTAGTCCACACATGTTCCGGACACTGAGCTCTCACGAACCCATTCAGGTACCGAACAACCTCTGGATAGGCTCCCGTAGCTCTAGTAATCCCATGAAAACCCCCAACACCATAAAGACCAAGAAGTATCGCCCTACCACTTCCCTTACCTAGGGGCCTACGAGTCACTGGAATAACTTCAAGCCCTCTTTCGAGAACTTCGAGGCACTCTGAATCTGAGAACGCATGTTGCATCAAGAGATCTTGGATCCAATCTTGACTAACACTTTCCAGAAGTCCAGCGTCTACCTTAGCCTCGAGAAACTCACCAGACTCCCCAGTGTCAAGATCATCCTCAAACGAGCCCAAAACCTCCCAACAAGCCCCAAACCCCAAACTCACTTCCTCTAAAGAGACACCCTCTTCAGGGGGGAAATCTGAAGCTTCTTCACATTCCCCTTCCGGAGCCTGAAACTCAAGGCCATGCCGCTCAAAAATCGAGGAAACAGAAACCTGGGAACCAGAGAAAGGCTCATGGGACTCCCCCCCAGGTACAAACCTGGCACACTCGCACCACTGAAAGGAAACATCAGCAGCAGCTACGACTTTCACTGCGAACGGTGCGGAGCGCTTACTCCTCAAGCGGTAACGAGGCTTACCTTCCCGACCTTCCCCTTTACTTAAACGATACACTGTATTGGTAAGGAGAACTTTCAAATCGTCCGCAGTCCCCGACCGGACCAAAACCAAGTGACCACCAGGTGTGCTGGGCGCCTGCCCTAAATACCGACCCTCAACCGTCCTAGACTCCCATTGCGACTGGTACCCTGTCTGCGTACGCCTTCGAGCATGAACCCGCAACCCAAACGGCAACATAGGAACCTGGGGCACACCCACCGACTCGCAAAAGTTAAGCCAATTCCTGGCTGAAGCATGCATCAAAGCCAGAGGCCAGTAGCCCTTGCCTAACTCAGCGACGAACAACAACTTCCTGACGAAAGCCTTTAGCTGCTGACCGCGAACTCTGCCCTGTTACCCGCCGGGGACTCTCCTGCTGTCCACGTGGGATATATTCCTTGCCCCTTTACCCACGACACCAAGGCCGCCGATCTCAACTCCTGAGCTCTATCCGCGTGGTACCACTGAACTGGAAAACCTGTGGCTTCTAACCGGTTTATGACTCCCTGAATGTGCGGCAACACCTCTTTCGCATGTTTAGACCTCAAGGGTACCCCGAAAAACAATGTCCTGTAACCCTTAGAATCCTTAGACTCAACCGGGGCAGGGGGAAGGGGACCAACACCACCCCCATCATCCTTTTCTTCATCAGAACCTCCAGTCTCCCTTTCAGGTTGTTTTCCTTTCACACGAAACGAAACCGCACAAAGTCCAGGCCCTTCCGGCAGCTCCAGAAGGTCCAGTGCTGGCAGTGACCCTGCAGGTCCCTGACCCACAGGATCCTCGCGATCTGGATGCTCCCGTACAGCCTCCAGTTCATCTTCCATAAACTCTGCTTCAGCTGCAACAGGCTCATCATCCACACGCAACTCATAACCCTTGGGCACGGTATAAGCACACGCAAGGAAATACTTATACCCTTTTCCTTGGTCTCGTCCACTAGACTCCACGTTCCAAGACAACCCCGAAATCAACGGTCCTGCGATGTCCACGCTAAGGGAATGAACTACAGGAAACCCACTCCTCCAGTGCGAACGTTGACGTCCTTGTGCTTGGTTACATATAGGACACCCCTTACGGTAAGGAACATGATCATTTGCAATATGGCACTCCATGGATTCCTTCTCCGAAAGTTTCCGCAGAATAACCCGCCTTGCCTCCACTTCAGCCTGATTTTCCTGCTCCCACTTCCAGAGCGCCCATGCCTTTTGTACCAATTTCAACACATTCCCTGTCCATCCTACTCCGGGACAGCCTTGACCAAACCCCAGAGCTTCCAAAGCCTCCAGCGCTACTTTTGCCTGGCCCTCGGCCTTAACCATATGCAGGGTCTCATAAAGAAACCATGAGGAAGTAGCCAGCTTAGAACTCCAAACACCCGGTGCTCCCAAACACCCCTGATCAAAACTAGCTACATTCAATCCATACTCCCTAATCAACAACCTCAACCACCCTTTGTCAGGTTCCGATCTCGTCGGCCCCATCGGGTGGATGTGGCTGTCCATTTCCACCGGATCAAACGCCAGAAAAACTTGACTCTCTGCACCTACCTCTGGAACTGGTCTTGACGATGCGGAAAGATTAGCAGCTGCCCTACGCACCGCCCATTCCGGCAACGACTCCGGGCCTACCAGCTCCTCGTTAGGGGAGCCGCCCCGCGACGATTGGTTATTGTGCATCGCAGCCTGAGCTACTGCAAACACGAGGAACAAGCGCAGCATCCGAATTAATTCTTCCTCATTTAACATACTCGGATCCCTACCTTCCTTACCCTCATGTCTACTCGAAGCCCCCTTTACCACTGCACCTATAACACCTGAGCCGGCCCACCGCATTAGCAACTGGAAAACTAACCTACAGCCCAAACCCTTCTCCGAATCAGGCAACGAAATCACCCTTCCCAACCCTTTCCAAGTCCCTGGAAAAGGTGACACCGCCACCATTGCCGAGGCCCTTCCACCCCTTTCGATGGATCGCCTAAACCGTCGATTCCAGGAAGCTCAGACCAATCAGTTAACCCATCCTCCAACGCAGGCACACATGCTCTGGTTAAGGCACGCAATGTCACACCCGGAAACATAGACCTAAGGAACACCAACTGGTCCACCTCTGTGAGTCCAGACCCGGAACGCTGAGCCAACCGAAACCGCAACCAATCCTTAGCATCCTGCGGCTCCAAAATACCTCCCAGGTCCTCTATCTCGGCCTTGCTCAACACAGGTCTACCAGCCTTTCTTTCCTCGTATTCCTGAAGGAGCTTCAAACCTAGCAACCTAGGAATCAAAGGGCAACCCTTTACTACGGTCACCTCTAGACAACCCCGCCTAGGATGCTTGATCTTACAACGCTTCCTTTTCCAAGATATGACATACCCCAGTTCAACAAGGTAGCTCGCAGGCAAGATGACTTGACACTGACCCACATGTAGCAAAGTCCCATAACCGTTAATCCGAAGATCCGCGCCTCCAGACGCAAGGTCGACCCGAATCACCTTGCACCCCTCAAGCTCGGTATCTTCCGCGGGACGAAGAGCATTCGTAGCTCCGCTATCCACCAAACAATATTCAGGATCCGACGCAGAAGCCAGAGCACTCCTAAGCCAAGAAGAGTCCACCTCTCCTAGCGTAAGTGCTCGCAAAGAAACCCCCTTTAACAACTTGGTCGCCTCGGCGACTAGAGCTTCTTGGCTTACCGTTGCGCTCAGGCTGGCTGCAGCCCCACTGGCGCTACTGGCGGCTGCCTCCCCTTTTTCCTCAGTCACCCCTTTTGCCTGGACCCCAGACTTAGCCTTAGCCTTAGCCTTAGCTTTCCCTCCTGAGGAATTCGGGGACCCATCGGAGCTCTGTTCACTAACAACCGGCCGATTCTCAGGAGCTACCAACGGACAATCAGGTCGGAAATGGCCTGCTTGTCCGCATGCCAAGCACCTGCCATCCTTCCTAGCCTTAGAACGATCATGCTTGAACATACAAGCATCCCCGAACTTGCAACCAGAGCCATCAGCAAACTTGTAACAACCAGGAGTCGTTCCATCAGAAGACTTCCCTTTCCCTTTACCCTTCTTATCCCCTGAACCCGCTCCCACTACTGCAATGCTAACTTCCGCCGCTACCTTTGGTGGCGGCGGAGGCGGAGGACGAACGGACCCAGACTCCTTTGCCGCACTCAAAGCCGCAGCCTTCGCCCGCTTGTCTGAACCCACTGAACTATCGACCAGTGCTACAGCTTCACTCTCCGCTTGCAGGAGCCTAACTAGCTGAGTCACCCCCAAAGTCGTAGGATTGTAATCAAGCGCTACGCTGTGGCGAAAGGAGTTAACCCGAAATGCAATCATCGGATTCGACGAAAGAAGAGGCGTTGTTGCGGCATCCACTCCTTTCAGGAGTAATGACGCATCGGGAAGCGCTGCCCCGACTTCTGCAGCTCTTTGCATACTCTGTTGCCATTTACGAAGAATGCGGACAGCTTCAGGAAAACTCTTACAAACCTCAGGTGTTACCAATTGACTTAGCAAGTGTGCCCTTTCAGTACTCCCTCCCGGCTGGTACAAACATAAAATCCGAAACAAAATGTCCGAAGTAGAGAGCCACCTGTTCATGATGATATCATCCTTAACAGCAGCGGGGAGTGAAGCCAACAGCAAACTTACAGCTCTACTCTCTACGCGCTGGAACCGAACCTGGTCATACACCGCTATGATAGACCCCGGGTCTAACGCTAACCTACCCAAAGGATCAGCCGTCAGCCACTTATTGTACCCTTGACTTGCCGCTAACTCCACCGCAGTGAACCAGACATCCGCCGTTGGAGACAATCCCTGGAAAATCTGTCGCACCTGAGCCAACCAATTTCCACATACAACAGCACTACTAGCTAAATCAGCAGGTGAAAGCTTAGGCAACTCTGAAATATACTTAGCAGGCTCTTCCGGACGGACATCCCCAGGAACCCTTCTATCTCCTTCAGACACCAGTCCCAACCCTCCAAGGCCGGGTCTGAAAACCCGCTCCTCTTCCCAGCATCCCTTCAGCAAACTGTGTCAGGGTCTGAGGAGTTTCCATTCCAAGATGGGTTTCCGTTGCAGGTGCAGGGGGCAAAGGCAAAGGTGGGGGAGGCAAGGACTGCCTATGGCTAGAACCCTCCACGGGCCCTCTGAAGGAAGCTCCGAAACAACCTGGACCCATCCCTGGTACAAGGGCCTCTACTTGCGCCTCAAGCCTATGTCCCGACCAAGAGTGCGGCCCCCCTCGGAAGACACCTCCACCTCCCATTTCCATTCCTGAAAAACCCATATCAGAAATCCCTGCAGTTGCTGACCCTGGGAAATCGGCAGAAAGAAATCTATGTACATCCTCTGCCCTTTGGCCAAAGGTGGCGGGAGAGAACGGCTGTTCAGGGGCCATTCCCCCACTATACCATGACGAATGCGACCTCGATTCAGTCTCCAACCGGCGCTTGAGGGACTTATTCTCTTCCATCACTTGAAGCAACAGATTCTCCATCTTCCCCAACCTATCCAGCTCCACCGGGATTAACTCTCGGTCATCCTGGTCTCGCGGCTCCACTGTTTCCACAGGATCTCTCCGAGACTCCTCAGCTTCTACAGTTGAGTCGGGCTCCCTAGAGCTCTCGCCACGGGCTTCCTTACCAACCAGCTCTTCACGAACCATGTCTCCTCGTCCAAACTCCCTCGAAGGGGAGTCCGCCGAGGCTTCCACCCGGGCCACTCTCGGAGCATCTCCTCTACCAGGTTCCGCTCCCATCATCGCTGAATAGTTCGGTTCCAACGGAAAATTTCCGCTGATCTCCCCCAAAGCTGGGCCTTCTGCTTCCAGACCCAATCGGGTAGCATCCCCATCCAAAGTAACCGGCCGACTCCTTATAAGGTCCACTTCGGCCCGCACTTTGTCACTATGGAAAGGATTCGCCATAGGCAGTTCACCACCCACGGGCTTTCCTACACCTTTTCCGGACTCTAAGGTCCCTGGGGAAACCTCCCCTGCCCGAAGGCCATTCACCGGCACGTCGCCCATGCCGATGCCAGAAGCTCCTGGAGCCCCCGCTTGACTCAAGGCTGCAGTATAATCTGGTTCTCTTGCCACACTGGCTTCTTCCGGATCTTTAGCCCCAGCTCCACGCCGGCGTATCAACGAATCCATGGCCCAATCCCCGGAAATAGCGGTCACGTAACTTGCCTCACCTAAACAAGATAGCCCAAGCTAACCACCCGTTAGCTAAGCCGTTACGGCTGGTAACCTACGTGAAGTAAGAACCAGGATATTAAAGAAGGAATGCCCCCTCAGAGAAATGTCACACTAACACCCTCGAGGCAATGATGAACCCAGACAATGACCACTGATCTGCACAATTTTCTCGACGAAAAAACAGCCTTCCGGAGTCAAAGCTTCTAAGCACGGAACTGATCACACGCATTTAGGGTTTACGGGTTTAGGGTTTAGGGTCTGAACCGTAAGCTTGCGTCAGCCACCCTTTTCTGAGGCTCGAAGTATGGGCCCCGAATTAATGTGGACCCTTAGGCCTTTAGGAAGATTCTAGGGACGCTTTAGGGTACATATAGGGGATGTAGTAGGTTTTTAATCCCTAAACCATAAACCCTACACCCTAAACCCTAAACCCTAAACCGTTTTTTTAAGGATGAAGGGCCCAGACCTAGCCGCCCATGGCTTCAACCTTAGATTCTTCAAAGCTCAGACTCGTCAATCTCAAACACCCCAGCCGGAGGTTTAGGGTTTAGGGTTTAGGGTTTGGTTTGGTTTAGGGAATAGGGTTCAGAGTTGAAGATAGAAACCCAAACCCTGCACAAGCTTTAGCGTTCAGGGTTTAGGGTAACATCCCGTACGAGCCTCAATCCCGCTTGTGGTGTCTAGGCTAGCGTGTCCGGGACAGCGTTCCTAGGTAGTACTAGGGAGACCCCTTAAAGGGAACCCTTCTGAACTCTAAGACTTCGGGCTCTCTGAAAAGGGACCCTACTGAGAGGGTCTATATCCCCAAGGGTCCCCCTGACCCTAAACCCCCTACAGTAAACCCTAAACCCCCCTAAAAAACAACCCTCGAAAACCCCCTTAGAACCCCCGTAAACCCAAGGCCTTAACCCAAAGCCACCCTAAACCCTAAACGCCCCTAAACCCTAAACCCTAAAACCCTAAGACCCTAAATCCTAAATCGGCTCATCAGCGCCGACTCCCGAGATGCCTCAGGCTCTGAAGTCGGTTGATGATTTTTTTCCCCTGCAATACCCATTTTAGGGTTTAGGATGTAGGGTTTAGGGGGGATAATAAGGAATACACCAGGATTCCCATAGTGTAGGGTCCTTAAGCCGAAACCATCATAGTTTATTGTTCAGGATTTGGGGGCTTAGGATTTAGGGTTTTAGGGTTTAGGGGTCATAACCCACAGAATCCAAGCTCAAGAACTCGCTTTTGAACTCCAGACCCACTGCCAACAGAAATTAGACTCCGAAACTCAAAACCTCTACTATAGAGGCCTGAATGATTCGCAAGCACTCAACCTGAAGCCCTTAATCCTAAACCCTACACCCTTGAAGGACCTCTTACAGGAACCTCTTAGAGGAACCCTACAGGATTCCCCTCACACCCCTCAGAGGAACGCTGCAAGGAGTCTCTAGAGGAGGCCTAGGCCTTGCGATTCCTTACAGGATTCCCAGAAACCCTCACACCCTCTAGAGGAGGCCTTAAAGGGACCCTCGAGATTCCCGTAAAGGGACCCTAGGGATCCCCTTAAAGGGACCCTAGGGATCCCTTTAAAGGAACGCTAGAGATCCCTTTAAAGGAACCCTAGGGATCCCTTAAACCCTAAACCCTAGACTTTAAACCCTAAACCCAGAACCCTAAACCCTGAACCCTAAAACCCCTAAACCCTAAACGTATACCCTAAACCCTAAACTTTAAACCTTAAACCCTAAAAGGGACCTTGCAGGCTTCATGAAGCGACTCATCACTCGCCTGAAAGATCAGAAGCTGAAGACTCTTGTCAGGGTTTAGGGTTTAGGGTTTCAGGGCTTGAAGTATAAGGCTTAGGGCTTTCGGCTTTAGGGTTTTGGGTTTAGGGCTTAGGGCTTGGGGTTTAGGGTTTCTGGTTTAGGGTTTTAAGGTTCAGGGCTTATAGGCGTTTAGGGTTTATGGAATAGGGTTTAGGGTTTAGAACTGGGTTTAGGGGTCTTTCTAACAGTAGCAGTTCCTTTAAAGGTTAGTTTCAGGGTTCGGTGGGGATTTGGGTTTAGGGTTTGCGGCGATTTTAGGGTTTCATGTTTTAGTGTTCAGGGGGTTTCGGGTTTAGGGGCTTTAGGGCTTTATGGTTTTAGGGTTAAGGGGTTTGCGTGTTTAGGGTTCAACCCCGAGGAACACATAACATAGGGTCAAAAGCGTGGAAAGGCTTTGTGGTTTTGGGTTTAGCTGGTATAGCAGAGCACCACTCTCGTTGCACAAGAACTGTAAGGGCGAGTAGTATTACTGTGCAAGGATTCTAAAGCCCATATTAAACATAAACTACTAGGGCCTAGCTGTTGCAGGGACTTCCTGGACCCCAAAGAACCTACCTTGTCAAGGGCTCATAGAAGGACATCATACTACGGTTGATGATATAAATCCTGCATTACCCATAATAAGGAATATACCATAATTCCCATAGTTTAGGGTCCTTCAAGTAATGCAAGATTTATATCATCAACAGTAGGTAACCCTACAAAGGATGGGTTTCAAGGGGTCCAGGTTTACTCTGTCCATAGGGTGTGGGTGGGCAGGTTCTTTGCTGCTGTCCTACCATGAGATGCAGCCTGAAGCTAGTTAAGGTTTAGGGTTTGGGGTTTAGGGTTAAGGGTTTAGGGTTTAGGTATGCATGTCAATCTAAAGCTAAGGTTACAAGTACAGGCCCTCGCCCCCAACATGGACCCTTAGGCCTTTCGGATGATTTCCCAGCTTCATCTTAACTAAGCCCTAAGCCATAAACCCTAAACCCTCAACCCTGCCATTTTGGATCTTTTAAACGAACCCTGAACCCTCCCTGAGACCCTTAAAACCTCATCTCAGGACGGTGCAGGAGCTGCAGCGGCTCAACTTTCGAATCATTGCCCCCCGGCTGCGGAATGCACGATTTCGGGGTTAGGATCCAGGGATTGGGGCTCACGGTTTATAGGGCCTAGGGTTCAGAGCGTGGTAGGAGTGATAGAGTCGTAGAAGTGGTCGGCGTCGTCGTGGTGGTGGTTGTTTTTGCAGCTGCGGCTGCGGTTGCAGTGGCGGTGGTGGCGGCGGTGGTGGTGGTGGTGGTGGCGGTGGTGGTGGTGGTTGCTGTTGATGTTGTTGTTGTTGATGATGGTGGTGGT